GCGCCGCGGCGCAGCAGGGCCCGCGCCCGGTCGACGGTGAGCGCCTGCGGAAGAGGGTGCAATGGGCGTGAGGACAATGCTCTCACGCCTTCGGCCGCTAGTCTCAGGCACGCCTCGAGGTGCTGGAGCGGCATCCAGCCGCGGCTGGCGACCAGCCAGGCGGCGAGGTCGGCGTGGCCTTCTTCGGTTGCAATCTCCTCGGGCGTGCCGAAGGGCGTAGCGGCGCGGGAGGCGCCGTAGGAGGAGAGGAGCTTGGCGACGTCGACGTGGCCCTCCTGGCACGCGATGAATAGCGGCGTGGCGCCATCCTCTGTAGCTTGGTTGATCGCCGCGCTGGCCTCGACGAGCACCCGGACGATCTCGAGGTGGCCCTTCTGGCACGCCATGTACAGCGGCGAGAAGCCTCCGTCAGCAGCTTGGTCGACCGCCGCGCCGGCCTCGATGAGCAGCCTGGCGATTTCGGGGTGGCTGTTTTGGCACGCAATGTACAGCGGCGTAATACCGCCTGGCCTGGCCTGTTTGATCGCCGCGCTGGCCTCGAGAAGCAGCTGCACGCACTCGAGGTGGCCGTACTCGCACGCGATGTACAGCGGCGTGGCGCCTGCCTCGTCCGCCTGGTCCATCGCGACGCCGGCCTCGAGAAGCAGCCGGGCAATATCGACGTGGCCCTCCTGGCACGCGATGAATAGCGGCGTGGTGCCTCTGGTGTTGGCTTGGTCGACTGCAGCGCTGGCCTCGACGAGCACCCGGACGATCTCGAGGTGGCCCTTCTGGCACGCCATGTACAGCGGCGAGAAGCCTCCGTCAGCAGCTTGGTCGACCGCCGCGCCGGCCTCGATGAGCAGCCTGGGGATTTCGGGGTGGTTGTTTCGGCACGCAATGTACAGCGGCGTAATACCGTCGGGCCTGGCTTGGTTGATCGCCGCGCTGGCCTCGAGAAGCAGCTGCACGCACTCGAGGTGGCCGTACTCGCACGCGATGTACAGCGGCGTGGCGCCGTCGTTGCAGGCTTGGTTGACCGCCGCGCCAGCTTCGCGCAGCAGCTGGGCGCACTCGAGGTGGCCGTTCTGGCATGCCATGGACAGCGGCGTGGTACCATCGTTCATCGCTTGGTTGATGTCAGCGCCAGCGTCGCGCAGCAGCCGGGCAATATCGACGTGGCCCTCCTCGCACGCGATGAGTAGCGGCGTGGCGCCATCCTCGGTAGCTTGGTTGACCGCCGCGCTGGCCTCGAGAATCAGCCGGACGCACTCAATCTGCCCCTCCTGGCACGCGATGGACAGCGGCGTGCAGCCTTCAGCGCCTGCTTGGTCGGTCGCCGCGCCAGCCTCGAGGAGCAGCCGGGCGCACTCAATCTGCCCCTCCTGGCACGCGATATACAGCGCGGAAGCGCCGCCGCCAGTCGTCGCCCCGACGCTCGCGCCGCCTTCGAGGAGCAGCCGCACCGCCTCGGCCTGCCCGTGACGAGCGGCCCAGGTGAGCAGCGTGTCCTGCTTCTCGGTGTCGTGCCGCGCGTCGAGCTCGGCCGCGAGCGACGTGCCGCGCGTCCCCTGCCCGGAGAGGAAGGCGCGCAGCGAGGCCAGCTCGCCCCGAGCCAGGTCGGCGAGCTGGGTTGGTGAGCTGGCGCTGGCGCTCATGGCCACAGAATTTAAACAAAACAACCCCCGTCGCCTCTGCGTCTGGCGAACGCCTGTATGCCATGCGCGCGGACCACGCTTGCGTGGATACGTGGCTGGCAGGCTGACCCGTGTGCGGGGTAGCCCGCGCACGGGGAAGCTTCACGGGTTCGAGTCGCCAAACATTAAGCAGCGGAGGTGTGCCGAGGGGGACCGGGAGGCGGTAAGCCGTCGTCGCCCGGCGCTGCATGCAGCACCGTGGCGATGGCGCTAAGAGGTTCCTCTTTTCCGCGCCCCCCCCGCAAGGCGCGCGATACACAACAACTCTCTCTCACAGCACACAGGCTCGACACAGGTGCGAACTGGCGCGTGCTATGGCCACAGAAGAATCTACGAATAGAAGCCCCTCTCACAGCAGACTGGCACGAACTAGCACCACAAAAGGCACAGCAGAAGAAGAAGCGCCGAAACTTCTTTTTGTCGTACTCGAAGCGGTGTTTCGACAAGGAGAACGCTGTTCAAAATCCGCTGTTCATTCACAGGTAAGTGTAAGCCGCAATGGCGAGGCGTCGGCGCGAGCAATGCCCTCAAAGGACTTGCGGATGCGGTTGTGCGCAAACTCGAGAGCCTCGCACGCGACATTGGCGGCGTGATGCCGGCAATGTACTTGGTCTTTGTTTGCGCAGGCAATCCGTTGGACGAGGTTGAGGCGGAGCTGCGAGGTGTTCGTGACGCAGTCAGTGTCGACGATCGTGTCGATGGCGTCGAGCGGCGCGAGCTTCTTCCTGAGGTGCGCGCTTTGTGTTTTGGGCTGGCCCCCCCCCGGGGCAGTCATCATCCGGGGAGCTACTTACTCCCAGCGGAGCACTTGGTCTTGGAGCACTTGGTCTTGGAGTGATCCAGGGCTGGAGTTAAGAAGCGCACGGGCCGCTTGGGAAAAGCTTCTTGGTTATATCCATAAATAAATAAATAAAACGGACACAGAAAGAAAGAAAGAAAACAGACAACCCAAGGGAGGGATAAAACGGACACATTGATTGATTGATGGGAAGGCGACACCCCAAATGTATAAAACGCACACTTTTTTCTTTTCTGTTCGAAAAGCTTCTCCTTCTCGGTGCCCAGATCGAAGCTTCAGCAATGGCCCTCGCGCTCTCCGCCCTCCCCCTTTCGCTCTCGCTCGGCGCCCCGATGGCGGGCCCGGCGTCGCGCGCCGCCGTCTCCATGCAGGCGTACGGAGCCGTCGCGCCCACCGCGGGTGCGCCGCCGACTGCACGCAACTACTCGCGCGCACTGACGCACTTCATTATTTACCTACCCCCCACGCCCCCTCCCGGTGCAGGCGTCGCGGCGGGCGTCGCCGCCGGCGGCCCCATGGCCGGCCCCGGCGTCGACTCCTCCATCCTCGTCCAGGGCGGCTCGCTCCGCACCTGGTCGTACCGCTCGCCGTCGGTCGAGCAGGTGCAGGTGGTGCTCAGCACTGAGGGCCGCCCGCTCGACGCGGACATCGAGCTGTGGCAGGGGCCGGACAACACGCCGTGCAAGATGCGCGTGTACGTCGAGAACGGCCAGCTCCGCCCCTTCAGCGCCGTCGTCGAGACGCCCCGCGGCCCAAACACGATTGCCATCCGCAACATCGGCCAGGTCGAGTTCCCCCTCGCCGCCAACGTCGTCGCGGACAACGTCGACGCGCCGTCGGCCGAGTGCCTCGACACGCGCATGACCATCCAGGGCGGCGCCCTCCGCACCTACCCCTTCGACCCCACCGTCGACAGCGTCCAGGTCCTGCTCAAGACGGACGGGCGGCCGCTCAACGCGCGGATCGAGCTGCTGCAGGGTCCGAACAACAACAAGCAGGTGATCGAGCTGTACACGGAGGACGGCCTCGACCGGCCCTTCTTCTGCATCCTCGAGACGCCCGGCTCGGGCAACGTCGTCCGCGTCGTCAACACCGCCCCCGTCGAGTTCCCGATGACTGCCTCAGTCGTGCCCAACTCCATCAACGAGCAGATGGGCTACGAGGCGGTGCTCGGCGGCGACGTCGTGCTCGGCGGCGACGCGGGGTGGTGAGCCTTTGGGCGCTCCCCCTCCCCGCACCCCCTCGCTCGCGCGCGCGCACGCGCTGCAACGCCCACAGCGCTCGCATTCTGCGCCGCGAGACGAGAACCTCTCTTAGGGACCCTCCACTTCTTTCCCCCCCTGTGACTCTCATCTTGTGACTCGGTGTCAGTGTGCGCGGCAGCACGTGTTTGTAGGGCGGCGGCTCTCGTCCAGTAGGGTCATTTGTGGTTTCACCCGTACACGTATCTCCTTTTCCATTTCACGTAAACGGCTTTTGAGAATGCGCGCGGCGGGCCGGCGCGCGGCGGCCCCCCCCCCGCCCCCCGGCGCGGCCCGCCGGCGTATCCTTCTCCACCGGCGGACACACTGCGGCGCGTGCGGGTGCATACGCGCGGTGTAGCCGTTGCGCGGTTGACGGGCGGTCCGCTTGAAAGGCGCGGATCCTGGCTGGCGCGAGACCGCAGACCGAGAGGTAAGGTAAGGTAAGGTAGATTTCTCCACACACACAAAGTGGTGGGGCAAGGGGGGGCGACCCTCGCATCTCCACGCCCGGACACGGGCAGGAGCCCCACGGCATTCAAAGTGCAAGCACTGGCCCGGTGCACGTGGGTGAGCAGCCTGCCCCTCCCTCCCGACAAACCAACTCCCGCACACACACAATCGCACTCTGGCCATCGAATGACTCCGAATGACTCACTGTGTGTGCTAAGACAGAATCTCCGCAGACATCCAAAACGGGCCGTGCCGCGTTTGTGGTGTCTTCTCAAGCACTAGCATCCGGGCGCCGCACTCGAGTGGGCGGGTCACATCTATGTGGGCCCAGTGTGCGCACTAGGCGCATATGCTAGTGCTATCCTGCCCTATGGGAGGGCAGAGGTAAGGTGGGGTGAGACTGGGGAGGGCCTCAAAGGTCCTCCATGGGGGTGGGGTCCGGCCCGAACAGGTCGAAGCCAGTCCCGCCATCGCCGCCGGCGCCGTCGCCCTCGTCCGCCTCGGAGGGGGAGGTCGTCGAGCGGGGCGTCTCGCCCGTCGCGAACCTGCCGCCGAACACGGCGTCGGCCGGCGCCGAGGCGCCGGCAGCCGTGATCAGGTCGGCGACCTTTCGGTCCCTGCAGGCCGCATCAATTTTGCCGCCCCGGGACGGCTCGTAGAGCTCGTTGGCGAGCCAGTCCCGGGCGACCTTGGTCGCCACGGAGCCCAGAGGGACCGTGGCGTACACCAGGTCGCCGAACCCGCCGCCCCCCTCGGGAGGTAGCGAGTAGGCGACCTGAATATTGGACCCCGCTGGGTTGCGCGCCGCCTGCGTCGCAGCCTCCAGGCCGTCCATGACGAACTCGACGTTCTCGCGCAGCTGCGCGTGCGGGTAGTCCGCACGCTCAGCCTCGCTCGCAGCCGCCGCCGCAGCCTTCTCCGCCTTGTTCGCCTTCTGCCGGGCCTTTTTGGCCCTGCGAGCCGCGGCCCGAGCATCCTTCTGCTCCTCCGTCAGCTCCTCCTTCCGCGGCGCGGTGCGCTCGACGAACGAGCGCTCCGCCGCCTGCACCGGCTCGCGGTCGCCCGCGGCCTTCTCGTGCTTCAGGTCGAAGGTCGCCGTCCCGTAGCCAGGGACCTCATACCTGAGCTGCGACACACCTGCGAGCCTTGCGGCAATGAGGCAGTCTTGCATGTGCGCGCGATCGCTGCTATTCCAGGGCCGTCCGCGGCGCATCCCCGGCGGCCCGACGGTGGCCGGCGCTTGCGCGCCAGCACGGTCCGCCGCCGGATCCGCGGCCGCGGTCCCTGTCATAGCTACGCGCGCCATGGGGCGACGTGCCCGCCCCTAAGCACCGAGAGCCGAGACGCATGGCCGAAGTCGCTCTCGTAGAGTCGGCAGCAGACGGGGCGCATGCACGAAGCCATATGCCATCGATCGATGAGCGACATGCGTGTGCGCGCGAGGCGCGTGCGCCCGCGGCGAAGTGCAAGTCTGGGCGGGGCGGGGCGTGTCATCTCTTTTCGTCTTCCCGCGCGCGCGCTCGGCCTGCACATGCGTGACAAAGAGCGCCGCACACCCCGCACAGCGCGTATATACACATGTACTGGATCTCAGGCGCGTCGAACACCGAACACCGGGGCTCACACGAAAGTCGGCGCGCCGCGCGGCCGCCGCCGCCCGTGCCCACTTCCACTGCCTAGAGTTAGAGCTAGAATGTATGTCGGCCCAATGGCGTCTCGACACCTGGTGGAGCGAGAGCATCAGCATCGCGTGCCGGTTGGTCGGCGGCGGCGCGGCCGCAGCGGCGTCGCGGCTGGCGAGCTCGCGCTGCAGACACTCGGCCGCCGACTGCGGAAAAAGCTTCTGCAGATGTTGCAGTACCAGCGCGTCGATCAGCGGGTTGGTTGCGCTGCTCAGGGTGGGCTGCTCCATTCGGGCTCCATGAAAAGAATTCGCGTCCGCGGGAGCTCAATAACAATTTAAAAAAAAGAGCAGAAACGGGGCACAAACGGGGAGGCACGCAGTGACGCGCAAGGGGGTCTAGGCGACGGTGGCGTCCTCCGACGCCGCGGCGAGCCTGAGCTCGGTCGCAATCTCATCCGCGCCGCGAGCTGCAGGTGCAGCGCGACTGACATGCGCCGGGCCTGCAGCGACAGGCCACGACCGCGTCGCCCAGCTCGCCTCGTCCTCGTGCTGCCGCTTGGAGAGCTTGTTGCGCACTTGTCGTACGTACTCTCTCTCTCTCTCACTCTCTCTCTCTCATCAAGTGTCCGAAGTGGTCACGAACTTTCTCTTGAAGTTTGCGAAAATTTGGGGAGAAATTGCAGTTTACTACGTTTTGAGCTTTTCTCTTGCAGATTACTACACACCACACAATGCAAGAGCTTTTCTTTTGCAGATTACTACACACCACACAATCCACCTTGCAGATTACTACACATCACACAATCCACCTGCAGATTACTACACACCACACAATCCACGGACACATGCAAATCCGAGGTTGCAGTTACTACCCCCTCGTACGCGCGG